CAGAAAAATTGTAAAGACAGTGGAGAGAGTTCCCATATATCCCACAACCAGTTTCCCCTATCATTAATATCTGACATTAGGGGCATACGTCACAGTAAAGGAATATACTGATATGTTATCACTAGCTAAAGGCCTTTCTTTATTCAGAGTCCCTTAGGTTTTACCTAATGTTCTTTTTCTGCTCCAGGATCCCATCTAGGAGACCACATTACATTTAGTTGTCACATCTCTTTAGGCTCCTCTTGGTTGTGACAATTTCTCAGACTTCCCTTATTCTTTGATGACCCTGACAGTTTGAAGAGTGCTGGTCAGATATTTTGTAGAATGTCCTACAAGTGGGATTTGTCTGACGTTTTTCTTATAATTAGGTTTTTTTTGGGAGAAGATAACTAAGAAAAAGTGTCATTTTCATCACCTCAATGGTACATATCATCAACCTGACTCATCATGTTGATGTTGACCTTGGTCACCTGGCTAAGGTATTATTTGTCAGATTGCCCCACTATAAAATTATTCTCTTTCCCTCTTTTCACAATGTATTCTTTGGAAGGAAGTCACTAAGTGCAGCTCACATTTAAAGAGTGGAAAATTATGCTCCACCTCCTTAAGGGGGAACAGTCACATAAATTGTTTTGAATTTTTCTGCATGGGGAGATTTGTCTCTTCTGTTCATTTGTTTATTTACTCAATCATTTATTTATATAAGTATGGACCCATTATACTTAGGTTTTACTTTGGGTTATAATCCAATGCTACCATACTTTATTTTGCTGCTCAAATTGTTCCAGTTTTGGCCACTGGGAGCTCCCTCAGTTGGCTCCTGAGGCTCCATCATCAACATTGTTATTATTTTTTAAGCAATTTCCTTATTTTCTGGTGCTACAAGATACACCAGGCTCATCTTGTCTGTTTCCTGCCCCAGTCCTAGAATCAGCCATTTCTCTAAGGAGGCCTGTCCATTTTACTTAGAAACCAAGATGTGGGCCCCAAGGGTACTTGTAACAACTAGCTGCTGGGGTACACTTGTTTCTGGGCCCTGTCAGATGTCAGAGCTGGGAACTATGTTTTGCAAACTGTATACCTACACATGTCTATAAATGTTCCCATCTGTAGCCATCTACACCTAAATAATACTAAACATGAGCTCATCCTGATGTGCCCTAATTCTAATCCATTACCACATGGATCATTCTAGCCTTAATGAGCCATTTTTAATAATAGCACCGTATTAGATATTTTGTACTAGGTACAGTGCCAAGCTGTTTACAAAGATTACCTCATGTAATTCTCAAAACAACTTCATGGGTAAATGCTATCACCTACATTTAACAGAGAAAGAAACTGAGGCACCAAAAGATGTAGTATCTTTCCTAAACTCACCCAGTAAGTGGTGGGGCCAGCAATATAAGCCTATATCTCTCGGATTCCATGTCCACTGATAGAGAACACCCTCCTTCCCTTGATCTAAGACTTTGCAGAAACTTCAGTTCTGAGTAATTTAAGATACAGACATAATTCCTAGCTCTCGCCAACCACTGTTCTGTTCAAAACTTATCTCTTCAGTACTTTCCCACCCTGTTCCCAGGGTTCTCTCTCCATCAGACACGCTAACTGGAAGACAAGTTGCCAAGTTACAACCTGACTTGACAGCACAAGAAAAGGGGTGTTGGTGCAATGGCAGGAACAGCTCCATCTGACCCCGTGACTTTTCAACCTCTGGCTAACCCCTGCTGTGTATTATCTTGGGTTTTGGTGACTTGGTTGTAATTAACTCTGAACAAGCAGCTCTGCTTTCATGGAGTTAAAAAAAGAAGAGTATTTTTTTTTTCTCTTGTTAATTAAATCATCTACAAGGAAGCTAAATGTGCAGCCCACACTAATATCAAAGGCCTGATTACTAAGTGTTATGTTCAACCTCAGGCTTTTTCTCCAGATTCCTGGAAGAAACAGGGATCTGGAGGTAGGGAGCTTCTAAGTATTTAGCAACATTCACTTACTTGGACAGTCACTCATTCATTCATTCATTCATTCATTCATCCATCCATTCATTCGTTCATTCATTGTCAGTGATCTAGAAAGAGGCAACCTGTATAAAAATGTCCCTGGGAGTTTTGTTTTAATGAACCTACTGAATCAGAAACATCAGCAGTGAGCAGAAAGAAGAAAGAGAATCCTTCAGACCAGGTTGAAAACCACTTTTGGAAAAGCCCACAGCCCCCTCTGGTCCCTGGGTTCTGTTTGGTGAATTTTTCCTGACAGTTGGTGCTTTTATTTGCCAGAACCACAACAAAGGGGGTCCTTGAGTTTCCCTGGGAGTGTTTCCTCAGACCTGCACCTCTCCTAGACCTCACAAAGGTGTTATTGTTACTGGTCCGCTGGGCGCCCAGCACCTGAGCGAGATCAAAGACGCTTTCCGATGCCAGCATGACCACAGTCTCGCCCTCACCACATAACATTAAAGCTGATGATTAATCCCCTTGTCCCAGAAGGGCCCTTCCCACTCCCAAGTACCAAGCAGGGTGGGGGCAGGGGCTTTGTTTCCAGCACAACACAACCATAATAAATGGGCATTTTATGACCCTCATTCACTGCAACCAAGTGCAGCTGCCCATCAGCCTCAGTAGAGCCGAGGCAGTTGCTCCGTGTGAGCCTTTTCTATCACCAGGAAAGAGTAACAAGAACACCATTTCTGAGTGTCTATGATGTA